TTGGAGAAAAAACAATCCTTTATTGTGCTGGAAAATTTAATTAAACTAGCATATCATGAAATATAATGGATAATTAGCTAAACTTAGCCATATGAATAACTTTAAGGCCTCATGATTTGTCTTTACCCTCTGTTCTGTTGACCCACTAAGTTTTTCCTTAGTCACCATAATATAGGTCAGGATTTAGCTCATTTAGCTCATCAATGTCCACTAAACATTTGATAAAATTGCAAATTAAGACCAAAAAATACAAATATGTGGCATATATATAAACCTTACATGGGTAAAATAGCTTGTTTGGTAAAATTGGTTAGATGTATTACTTATCAATAATTATAATAACTATCCATAGAGATCAAAAGTGTATCAGGCTCTAAATGTGGTTTTTAACATTGTAAAGCTGGACATTTTAACATGGGAGTCTATTGGGACTGACCCCTACAGTTTTTGCCTGAATGTTGAATTCATCTTTCAGCCCCTTGGGATCAATAGGCTTTTGGGGCCAGGCCCAAGTGACTATTCCAGGAATTGCAGTTTCTGCTCTGTGTGTGTGACACAGCTGTAGACTGACACAGCTGTGTTAAAATTCAACCATGTCTGTTTCTATTCAGAGCTCACATCTATTTTTCTGTCTATTTCTCTGGTTCTCTTGCTGTTGCTGGTTTTTATTCAGTTGAGGAGTGTCATTTGAATGACTTTATCTTTTTTTGGCAACACATGGAACTCGGTATTGTGCCAATAATGAACTCACTTAACTGAACTGATGCCAAAGACAGTGAGCCAGCAGACAGGTGATGCACCAGAAGCAGTAAACATGCTCTCAGTCACAATTAGAGGGGAGTAATGGCAGAGGATAGACGAGATGATACAGCTGTTGCATTACTTGCCATTTGGGTGTGATCAGCTAGTAGACGTGCGCTACCTCTGAGACTGGCATTAAAAGAGATGGAGTGACAGACACACAGCACCAGAGGGTAACAAAATCTATCCTGCCCATCGGCAATCTTTCCATCCACAGATCTACTGCGTGACAGGGTAAGTGGGGCTTTAACCTGTCATGTCTAATAAAAATCAGCTTCGCCCCCTCAGGCTTCACTGACACACCTGGTCTGATCTGCAACTGGGTCAGCAGCTGTCTGCCTGCCCATCGTTCTGCCTGTTTGTCTGTCAAAAAAACAAAAAAAAACAAAAAGGCAGAATAAGACCCTGTCTGTCACCGCTCTCTGCCTCTATTACAGATCTCAGTACTTGGTTGGCTCAAGGACATGTGATGGAAAAAGGAAACTTTTGCCTTATGGGTGGTAAGAAGGTCAGGTCAGGTAATGATTAGAGTAACTGCTTTGAATTATTATCTGCCATGTGGTACTGCGAGTAAGGATCTTTGTAATTTTGCTACTTGTATGATATTTGGTTTGTGTTGTATTTTTAGCTCTTCCTTTGTCCTGGCGATCATGGGTATTTGGTGTTTTCACTTCACTCCCTTGTTCCTTTTCCCATCCGTGTAATTATCTTGATTGAGCTCACTTGTGCCTTGTTACTCCTGTCGTTCCTCAGACGTTTTTAGGTGTCTTTCCCCATGTTTCTCTCGTATTGAGATTAATTTCATGTTACAGCTGGGCAGTACTTTTTGTTACCTCTAAATTCTCATTAAAGATCTTTTTTTCTGATTTGAGTGTCATCCTTTCACCAATCCATAAACACGTTCTAACCATTGTGACGAAAGAGTGCGCTTGCTTTCATTTCACTGATTGCTTCTTCTCTGAAGGTGTTACTCAGTCAAATCAGCTGCTGCAGGATTTGATTGCAAGTAAAACCTGCAGACTCTTTTTTTTTGCCAGTGACTGCAAGTGAGAGATACGGCACAAGTAGCAAAATTGTAGTGCCAAAGTGCCAGATTTAGCGTAACCCCGAAAATCATATAACTGGTTTCTATTTCTATTTTAAAAGGATGAATAAAATAAACATAAACCTCTTAATTTATTTCTAGAAAGAAATGCAAAAATTAATATGCACAACTTTGTAAAGAATATGAAATAAACATTTAGATGTTTTGGTACATGGTCAGGCTATACTGGGACAGACAAGATATTCTTAATATCTTGCTTAAGACTTTCCTTTCAAACTGTAGACATTTTTATATAAACAGTAAAAACAATCCCCTCAGTTTGTATGTTGGACTAAGAGCTATGTGTCCATCTGGTAACAGATGTTTACATTCTTTCTTGTTGGCCGAATGACCATTTAATGCATTCCCAGGTTTACTAGTCTTCTCCATCCTTAGTGTAAAATATCTCAATTCTAAGGTTTTACATGTCTTTTTTATTATAGTATTGTCAGTGCTAATCGCATTAATAGAATCATGTGTTTTAAAATGAAAAGTGTAAATACAACCTCATGATTACTTCAAGTTATTGCTGCTAAAGGTGGCTTCTACAATCTGCTGAGACGTGAGGTGTACTCAGTATTTCCACATCCTGCTTTTGCATTTGATTAAGTTCCCAATAAATAAACAATGATAATATCCAGTCCTTATACCTGACCAGAAATCTTTGGTTGTTTCTTTGTTTGTTTAGTCATTTAACACTGACACATGAATCATTCAAGCATTAAATAGCCTCCTAACCCAAAGGATGATTTGGTGTTGTGGCAGACATGACAGACAATTTAGGAAAGAACACATTTTAAACTGTATCGTTAGGAAGTTTGTTTTTTGCAGTCTGTTGCAAAAACAGATAGTTTGTTCACATTTCTTTAGTTGAGTCTACAAAAAATGCCAACGATCAGACAGTCTGACAGGCATGAATAGTATTTTTTCACCAACAAGGTGATTTCCAAAGTGCTGGCGTAGCTCACCATGGTGGCAGCATACATCATTAGAAATTTGAGGAATCTGGACAAGTGGACAACAAAAGAAGTGGGAGGTCTGAAAGAAACTACCTACATGTCCTTAAGAAATAGGAAGACAGATCCACTAAAGACCTGACACAGGACCTTTATTGATGTCTCTGACCATTCAGTTGATCACTGTTCATTGAAGCCTGATTTTTAATGGTATCAGTGGAAGGAAAACGTCAAGAAGCCTTTTTTTAAGGAAGAGAAAAAGGAAGAAAAGGCTAATGTATTCCAAATTACACAAGAGCTGGACTAAAAATCGGTGGCAACAAGTCTTATGGAGTGATGAATCCTAATGTGGAATTTCTGGTTCAAATCTTAGTTGACGTGTACAGTGGAGGTCAGGAGAGAGGCGCAACAGTGAGTGTTTACAGATCAGCTTCATTTTCACTATGACAGTGATCTCAACTAAACCATATCTGGACTGAAAAACACACAGTGGAAAACTATCAGTCATGGACTGAACTCCCCATAGCCAAGACACGAATATCATTGAACTACTGTGGGATCATTTTGACAGAGAACAGCACAGAAGGTAGCCAACATCAAAAGAAGCACGAAGAACTGAAGATTACTTAAAGAAATTACAAGAAAACTTGTCTAATTGAGCTCAGACTGTGTTAAAGAATAAAGGTGGTCCTATTAAGGTCAAGGTCAAAGGTCAAATTTATTTATATAGCACATTTCAAACAGCCGATGCTGCACGAAGTGCTTAACAATATAGAAATGGCATTAAAAGCAACAATGTAATACAATAATAACAATATAAAACAATAATAGGCCAATAAAAGAATTAAAACAATAACTAAAACTATTTAAAATAAGACCAAACCAGATGAATATTGACATTCAAACTCATTAGAATTGTGCAAACTGTTGTTGCCTTGCATGTTGTTTCCATCTATGATTGCACATATTTCAATAAATCGCTGGAACTATTTCCAATTTTCCCAGCAAAATATAAAGAAATGAGGAAAGAATCAGGACTGATACACAATATCGTGTGTTGTTGTTCATCTGAGCTCATATTTACCCAATTTTATGACCTATTAATGACCTGATGATTTTTTATTATGTCCAGATATATGAAACCTTAGAACTGAAAGAGATTGAAGGATTGTATGAATGCTAATCTCATGGTGAAAAACTAATTAAAGTGCCTCACCATCCAGAAGTTATTAACCACACACATAATTATAAATAATTATAGAACTGGGACCTTCATAAGACAGATCCTCAATATGATTAATGCAGTCAGCACTGAGAATAGTAAATATGTATTCTGGATTTTCCATCTCTCTAGATAACATGTGCAGAGTTCTGTGTTTGGCAGGTAATAGATAAGCTATGTTTTTCACGTGCAGGTGTGCAGAATATTAAAAAAATGTCTCTATGGAAAGCAGGATGAGGGTGGCAGGCAGGCATGGAAAGACATGAACAGAGGGAAACCGTACTAATGTTGACTGAAGCTGATTAACTGATTCCACACCTCAGTTACCATCAGTGTTATTAGCTACATTATGTTTTAAGCTCTACATTTGTTCCCGGAAACAGGACATAAAACACTGGGCTCTTAAATTAATACTTTAGTCAGTCAACATAATAAATTATGGCATATTAACTTACGGTTTGACAGCGTGAACAGCAGGATACTCGGATAGAATACTCTAATTATGGCTGAAACATTAGTGCCAAATGCAAAAAACAAGGTGTATTTTCAATCAAAAGTCAAAGGTCTTAACCTTTGGACACTAAAAAAGTAAATAATATAAGTCCCAAAAAGCAATTTTAGTTACTATTCTTAAAATATTCTTTTTAACAGAACCCGCAGCTCTGAGTTCAGTGTTGTCATATTTGAGTTTGTAATTCAGTGAAACACAGGCCAGCCAAGACTGATGGGTAAAGTGGTTTTTAAAGCTTGTCACACCAGAATGACAGAAAAAATGATTATTTTTAGACACATAAGAAAATTACTTATATATGGAAAAATATAGTGTAATTGTTTTCCCAGGAGGAACCCTGAGAAAAGTTCAAGATTAACTTAAACGAAGAAAAATGTCCTCCCAGTTCACAACCTATTTTGATCTCAGAACACAAGCTTTACTCACTCCCATTGTTTCCTCCTGGCCTGTGGTGTGTTGTGCAGCTTGTGCGCCTGGTGTGCCAAGATGACATCCCGGTGATCCACCAGTCCTCCCCTCCGCCGAATCAGTGGAACTGTGGGATCATTGTTGCTGGTAACGAGGGACATGGAGTCCCGGCTGGAGAGACGCCCGTAGCTGTCACCTCCACCACTGAAGGGCACTTCGCTGTAATGCTCCACCTGAACGTCATACACAGTATGATAGTATGTGGGGTTGGGGCCCACGCTGCTCCCGCTGATTGGTGGCGGGTGGCAGCGTAGTGGCCGGTGAAGGCCCTGAGAGGAAGAGGAGCAGGATGAAGTCTGAGGCCACAACCCCGAACCGCCATGGTCCTGATAGAGGGGGGACAGCATGGAGCTGGAGGAAAAGGGTCGAAAGAAAAGGAAAAGAGAGACAGAAGAGAGACATTCAATAATCAAAAGAACCTTCACTATAAAGCTGCAACAGTCAACCCAGAAAATTGAATGCAATATATTTATTCCATCATTTTTCATTGTTCAAAGAAAAATTCAAATCTTTCCAAAAATGCCAAATTAGAGCAGAAACTCCATTGATCAGAAAATCTTGTATGGGCAAGCCTGAGCCTGGTGCTGTCACAAACTACAGACAACAAATGCAGTGGAGGGGAGTGGAGGAGAAATGCACAGTGCATCTGAGGAGATCTCGTCCCACAGCAGCTGGAGTCCACAGCAGCATAACTAAGGCATGGCTCAGGGCCACTTGATCCAGCCTTACCTGTAACCTGCATCAAAAAGGGAAGCCAAATTTAAAACCAGAAATGTGTCTGTGTCCCAAACCCAACTGCTGGTTCCAATTGAGGACCCCAATACCTTGAAGGCTTTATCCTCCCATTCACTCTAGTAAATACAAGTAGACCTCCAGTCTGAACTCTACTGGGACAGGATGTTGCTGTGAGATTAAAGAGATGAGGGAGAATATATGAAAGGTCCTTAGAGTTCAAGATTTCACATATAAGTAGAAGAATTTATGTGTGTTTTGGAGCCAACAAAGACAAGCTAATGTGGGAGAAATATGGTCTTTATTGTCACTGATGGTAATCTAGTTACTCTGTTTTTAGGGTAACCTGATAATAAGGCAGTCCATCTTAAAAGTAACAAGCAATGAACTTTGTGGAGGTTAAAAAAATCTATTATATATATTATATATCTATAAGGTACATAAGCAATAGCAGAACAATAAACAATAAATGAAACAATATCAAAACAAATGATTTTTTGATTATTTAAGGAAACAAACATAATTACCACTAATTATCACGCACTACATTCCTGACCTGCACTGAGTTCAGTAAGAGTACGAGATTAAGAGATTGCTCAAAACAAAGAGTCTCAAGAGAATTATGATGTCTGTGAATGTAGGCATCTGGCACTATGAGAATATACTGTGAACACTTAAAACGGAGTAGTAAAAGCTGATTAACAGCATTGCTAAGTAACTGTTTCACTTTCAACAAATACGTGTGATTTGCAGCTATTACGTGATTTGAATATCACAGGAAACTGTTTGGGGTTTTTGTTTTGCTACTTTTCAAAACCAATAATTAGACAAGCAAAAGCACTTCATGCAGAGACTGGCCAGCTGTGTGGAGGCGTGAAAGTAGGCAGTATACTACTTGTCATTATCACTGTCACTTACCATGAACAAAACTGATTGCAAAATCATGAACCCTTCAAGGACAAAAAAACGTCCAAAATTGAGAGCTGTTTGTACCTGCTATGCAATTCACTGTGCAGAGAGAACAAAGACGCACACACAATCGACTACTGGGATATGATCACTTTCTTTTTTTAAATCTTGCTTTTCATGTAGCCATTCAAAATGGGTAGAAACTTGTATTTCTTGGTCAGACAACATGTCACATGTCCAGGCATTTTTCAATCAAAGGCTAAATTTGATAGAATTAATAGAAAACAGAAGAACTAGCAGTTGTGGCCTTTTTAAATATTGCTTGTGGTACAGCCTTCTTATCTTCAGAGCCATAAAAAGAATTAATTAAGAAAGCAACATCAAAATCAAACATTGAATATTTCTTGATATCTTTTTCTAAGTCAAGTTAGTTCTTCTTTAGCTGACTCTACGAGCTGTAACAAAGCTCTACAATCATTCTTTAAATCATGATAAACAATCTGCTGCTCTGCTGCAGGCTCCACCGAATACATTTGCAGCTGCTTTTTTTGTAACTGTGCTCATCAGCTAACATTAGTCCTGAACCCAGAGGTGTAAGGGAACAGTTAAGAGGGTACAGCTCTAACAGCAAAAATGAGCAAAACAATTTCAGAGGTTTGAGAAAAGAACACTTGGGTTGGAGAGTACTTTGCACAACAACTATGAAGCACGAGGGCAACAACAGAGTAGAACGCAGTCAGTAATTTAGAAACAGAACGTTTTTATTTAATGACAAATACACGTGTGGCAGCACGGTGGCACGGTGGTTAGCACTGTTGCCACACAGCAAGAAGGTCCTGAGTTCAATTCCACCATCAGGCCGGTCTTTCTGTGTGGAGTTTGCATGTTCTCCCCGTGTCTGCGTGGGTTCCCTCCGGGTACTCTGGCTTCCTCCCACCGTCCAAAGACATGCAGTTTGTGGGGATAGGTTAATTGGATAATCCAAATTGCCACTAGGTGTGAATGTGAGTATGAATGGTTGTCTGTCCTTGTGTGTTAGCCCTGCGACAGACTGGCGACCTGTCCATGGTGTACCCCGCCTCTCGCCCTATGACAGCTGGGATTGGCTCCAGCACCCCCCGCGACCCTGAAAAGGATAAGCGGTAGCGAATGGATGGATGGATGGACAAATACAAAAGTTGTTTGGTCTGCAGACAGCAGTTACGACACCTACATTAAGGCCCAATAGCAATTAGCAGGTTGTAAAGATGAGCTGGGCACCTAAAGATGACGTCTGTATCCCAAAGTATTCTAGAGTCAAATGTGAGGACATCTGCCTGTCAGCTACGGCTTGACCCAAACTTGGTCATACGTTAAGACAATGATCCTGAACACATTAGCAAATCTACAACAGAATGGCTGAAAAAACATGCAGGTGTTGCTCAACTTGACTGAAAAACTGTGCAAGGACCTTGCACAGTTTTATAAATGAGTATAAATGAGCCAAAGCACCTTTGCAATGAACTGAGAGTCTGACAAAGTGACACAGAAAAGGATTGTGTGAAGTTATTGCTGCTAGGTGGTTTTGCAAGATGCTGAATCATTACATGTACTTAATTTTTGACAGTACTGCAAAAAGTCCTGGGACTCCACATTTTCAGATGACTGTTTGTGATTGGACTTCATTTCTGTGTTCCAGTGTGCTTGGCAAAACTGCAACTGGCTTTGGTTTTGCAGCTCTGTTCTTCACACTCTAGTGCTTGTTTCTAATATTAAGGTTCAGCCAGGGGGAAGTAAAATAATGTTTGTTACCCTCAGCAAAGAAGAAAGTAAAAAGGAAAAAAAGTGAGGAAAAAATGAAGAATACAAATCTACAGAGTTAGAGGAGAGCATTAATAAAGCAGGCGATCAATAAAAGTGCAGAGGCCAAACCAAAAGTGAGAGGGATGAAGGGATGGGGAGCAATAAGGGTGGGTGAGCGGTTTAAGCAGAAACTCTCTCAATGCAACGCCTGCAATGGCGCTAATTTGGCATTTTCATTTTTTACTACACAGTTGCAAAAAAGAGAAAAAAATCCCCCTGTTTTTGTGTTTATGTGAGTCTATAACTGTGTGGATAATGGAAACAGCGTTTTCCCTTACCCATTACCTGCTGACAGTGCATTACGCATTATTTCTCCCTGACATGGTGTAAAGCGAAAACTAATTCACAGAGACAGCAACACACACACACAGATTTACGTTCACACGCTGCAGGTACAAAGATGAGACATACTGCAATGGTAAGGAGTTTGTTTGGTGATTGAGGACGGGTGTGTTTCTCTCTCT